CACAATATTATTTAACGCAATATTAGATGTCCATCACTTCCCAAGTACTTGGAAACTCGCGGAAATTATAATGCTTCTTAAACCTAATAAAGATCATTACTATCTAAACTGCTAGAAAAAAAATAATATACAAAAGAATGAAACGAATAATTTCCGACAAAAACTTGATTCCTGACCATTAATTTGGATTCCGAAACAAACACTCTAGCGTTGAACAAGTACACAGACTAACTAATATGATAATCACAGCTTTAAAAAATAAAGAGTACTGTTCCGCCGTCTTCATAGATGTAGAAAAAGCTTTCAATAAAGTATGGTATCACGGATTATTACAAACAATCAATAAACACTTTCCATACTTCTAAAATCTTACCTTTTTAACAGAATATTTTACGTAGAAATAAAAGACACTAATTCGAACATTAAACTAATCAAATTTTTTGTTGTTTATACTTAACAACATTACTAAAATTCTTTTGAACTAACAATTCATGTTTGCGTCAGGAAAAATTACTTATAATTCTTACTGAAAATTGATCGTTGTGAGAAATGAAATTTTTGGAGTAGAGAAGAGAAATAATGTCTCTCAATGTTTTGTATATAATAATATTTATTTAACATTTATATTTATACGAGTAAAGGAATCGCAGTTTAGTATTTAAAGATGGACAATTGTTAAAACAAAATTATAGTGTTAAGAAAAATAAAAATACTAAAGATCTGACTATTATTTTAACCGTTTGATGAATGCTGTTCGATTTTGTATTTAAATTTAAGTGATTAGTGACAGGAGAGGCAAGTGGATGATATTTAGCGACAAACATAAGTCCTTCATCGAAATATTAATATGATCGAACATTATAAACAATTTGATCTATTATTGCGAATTCGAACATCGATCAAAATAAACGGTTAACGATTTTCTCATATTTATCGTCCCTCTGACAATATCGTCATGCATTTGTAAGCTTTGAAAAATATTATATTATTTATTTATTTATTTATACTTCGTCCCTTTCGGGTTTGGAGGGCTTTCGATACAATTTTCCTTTTTACAAAAATTTAACAAACAACTATTATATATTCTATCTCAATACATTTAAACTTTAAAAACAAAACTGAAACTGAAACTATTTTTTTTTCTTTTTTTTTTTTTTTTTTTTTTTCTTTTTCTTTAATAACAATTCAGAAAAATATTATATATTGTCAACATGAAATATAATGTTTTCTCTTTGATCTTAAAACATGTGGTTGCATGTTTTTTTTACGAAGGACACATTAATTACTGGCACGTAAAGTAATTAGGAAATGTCGCATACGTAAACACGATTAGTTTCTTGTTTCAAAAACTTTGAAACATACGAACACTATTATTCTAAACAACAATAAACATTTAACACATTTTTGATTTTCAATAATTTACTATTATTTAGAATAATAACATATTAATATAACAAAAATAAGATCAAGATTTGGAATTCTAAAATGTCGCGATTAATTTAGTCGCTAGGTTTTACTTAAAAGAAGAAAACGCAGCTTAGTCGCGTGTTTTCCATTGTTTACTCCAAATAACGTTTAATCCGAAACGAAAAACATGTTTGCTTCGAATGTTATACAACATTTCTTAAAATTTATGAGAATTTCTAACAATAGTAGAAATTCCTATAACGTTGTGTTGGTATTTGATTAAAAAATTATCTTCCAAAAATAAATGATTTGTTTAAAAGTATCGATTCTTCTTAATCCAACGGTAGATTCATTGATGTATGATGTTTTATAGTTCACTTTTGTCTATCGTCTTGTCGAATAAGAAACATACATATTTTCGTAAAGTTCAATCTCGTGAGTTATCATTATTGCGTCGAAGAAATCTAAATTTGGTATTGTCGACAAATAATTTTGTATTCGATAACTTATTAGCCCATATATAAATCGGTTGACCAAATAAAAATTGTCGATACATTCATACTTGCATTGTCGAATTAGTTTATTTAAAGTAAAACCATAGTGTCGTACGCATTCACCTTCGATTTGATCACGAAAGTATAAACGATACCTAGCTGCATTCTCGTTCTTGAATTTTCAGTATAAATTTTTTAATATTAATATTAGTTAGTCGTATGTAAGTTCCAAAGGATCGGTAGGAAATAAATCCATCCAAATCATGTCATATATCAAGGATTCTAACATATTTAATACAAAAGGTACTTTTGGTCATTTGTTAATTCGAGTTCATCTATTGCATACTCAATGTAATTTTGCCATATAAGAAAGTCTGTAAATTTCGGATTAAACTTATCAATGATAAGAAGATCTACTAATTGTTCCATTTTATTCATTACAATAAATATATTTATAAAATAAATAAAAGTTAGATTTATTTTATTCTATGAAATGTTATGATCCGTTGGAAGTTTCTCGAGATTTTTGTTTTTTGTTTTCACTTTCACTGATTAATTTCATGTACTTAGAGTATATATTTCGCAAAGTTATTAGACAAGTAAATCTCTCTGGTGAATTAACATTTACGCGTGTTATGTTCGTTGTGTTTTCTCTTATGGAAGAAAAATGGGAATAAGAAGAGAAGATGCAGAGTTTTAACACTCTTCTATTGTTTATCCCCACTTTCTTAACAGATTGTTTACAGCCCACGAGGGTTCAAATTTTCGAAACGTTGCCAAATGTCGGAAATAAAAGTAATTAATTTGAAACTTTTAACAATTAAAAAATGTTTAGTGGACCTCGTGGTGCTGTTTCCAACTGTTTATACTAAACAATTATTTATGCACGAGTGAAAAATTTTATTTAAATGTGTGCGTAGAGCTTATCGCGTGTGTGAATAGCGGTAATTTTAAAAACACATAATAAAAAGTTACTATTTTACCGATATTTTAAAGTACAAATGAGTTATTTATTTTGAAAGTGACGTAAGTCCATTTTAAAAAAAAATCGAGTTGGCTACCTTAATACATAAATGTTTTCATGACCTTTTCATTCTGAAGCATAATTTATTATTAATATATTTAAAATTATTAAAATTTTGTAACACGAAAATTTGTTGTTTAATGTTAAAAGTTTATTTTGAAAGTGGCGTAAGTCCAATCGTAGCCATTAAAAACGTATTATTTCTTAAATAATGTTAACAATATCAAGATTGCACTACTATACAAAAAAACGAGACCATACAGAAACCTAAAATACAAGGCCTTAATGGATTTATCACATTATATACCACCTGCACACCATAGTCATTTTAAATTTCTCCCTTCCTCTTGATTTGTTTTTTATTTTTTTTATTTCTTATTTTCATTGTTGTATAAAGTAATATGTTAAAATAATTTTATTTTTTTTTGTTCATTTGTCCCCAAAGTATGTTACAATAATTTTATGGAGAATATATTTTTAAAAGAAGATACATTTTTAATATAGAATGTAAAGTTTCTTTTTATTCTGCTAACAAAAAAGGGGGGAAAAAGAGAAGAATAAAAGAAAAGGAAGGAAAGAAAGAGAGATAGCGCATAAATGATGCAAACAGTCCAGTCAACTAAAATGTTGTGAATTATTTACAAATTAGAACTCTTATTAATGTAACATACTCTCTAGAAAAATGAAACAAAAATATAATATTACTTGAACATACTGTAACATAATGAAAATAAGAAATAAAAGAATAACAAAAGTACCAAGCCAAAAATGTTTTCTCTTTTGAGAATTTGATTCGGCGATTTTAAGGACACGAAATCTTCCTTTTGTAAACTCATTACGATACCGAAAGAAAAGAAATCAGTAAACATAGGAATTTTTGCTAAATTTCTACCCCTGTTTTTTCGCAAACGGTTGGAGATCTCGTTTTCTTTTTTAAAAGTACAATGTATATTTTTATGGACTATTACATACGTGATAGATTTGACAAAAGTCTCAGATTAAAAATCCCTGAGCGCTCGTTGTTAGTTCGCGTTTTTTGTAGGAACTTATTTTACTGTGTTTCGTAGGGTTTTATTACTAGTTCGATTGTTTCGTTAATTGATTTTATCACAATCACATTTAATAATAGATTATATTTAATGATTAAAATTTATGTTTAGAAAAATTCGTTTAGAAATAGAATTTGTCTATATATCAACTAATGCAATATTACAATTTTTTATAATAAATAATGTCCTATTTTTTTTTACATTGAATATTAAACTGGTTCAAATTCATTCGAAAATTGAATTTCTTGTTTTTCTGTGAAACGTATTTGCAACGTTTCTTTTGTAAAATTACATAATGTTCATTCATTAAATAATTACTGACTATCATTTAAAAGTTAATTTTTTTATACAAGAAGCCATCACCGTGTATTATTTATGAACTACTTCGTGGAAAATGATCGCAAATACTTGTATAAAGAGCATTTAAATCACAAGTTCTTGTATCATTGCACGATATTGCACCAAGACGTATATTAACGATACCTATAAAAAACCACAAACTTCCTGTTGGAATCACCACTCCTGGTCGGCCGTTTCCCACAAACTTCTTAATGGTACTGGAAGACATTCCATTGGGTCTTCTGACCAATAACCTCCTCTTTTACAAATAAGTTCCATCTTGTTATCCGCTTGTACTCTCGGATATTTATTATAACCGGGTTTACAACTGATTTTTGTTATGGTTCCTGGTAAAACGTCATTTTCACAAGACGTCCATACGTCGTTATATTTACATTCGACAGATATCGTTCGGGAAGCCAAAGATGTACAACGTATTTCTACAATAATTACAATTACATCCACATAAAAATAAATTTAAAATATAATAGACAAAATAGTATATAGTAAAAGCAATATTGAAATATTCTTTGGAATAATAAAACTTAAAAAGCAAATCTTACCAGTACAAACAGGAATATTTATCCAATCTCCTTCTGGACTACATAATACATCACTGGTACCGCTTAATTCGTATCCCTGATTACAGGTGTAAATCAAAAGAGAACCGCTAACTAATTGTATACCTTCCTCCACAGCACAGTCTTCATGTGTTTGGCAATAAGATTTGTGCAATAGACGATAACYGTTCGCAGGATCGGGAGGTACCGTACAAACAGTTGTATTTCGAATCGATGGGGAAGATGTGATAGTGCTTGTAGAAGTTGGAATTAATTCAGCAGGACTAGTAGTAGTCACATTTGCTATAGTTGACTCACGACATGCAGGAAGTGATTTAGATGTTTCTAATTGGAAAAGTGTATCTTCGATCCATTTTATATGATTAGATATACGCGTGTAAAGAGTATACGAATGACTATCACAAATCGTTGTACCACCAAATGGTATATAATCAAAAGAGAGACTTATGATTCCTCTCAGATACCATAAATTTCCAATTTGAAAAACCAATCCTCCTCCGCTGTCACCATTGCAGACAGCTGTTCCTAAAATACAAATAATAATTGATTGGTAAAATTTTGAAATATGTTCATTTTCGCATATTGATTTTGATTCGTTACTAACCATTCGTGTAACCGGCACAAAATTTATCCATCGTTATGAGCTTCACAGATTCAAGGGAATTTTTGGAAGATTTGCATTCGCTAAGTGGAACATAGGGTAATGACACAGATTTTAGAATAAAACTGGATGATCCGAAAGCGGTTCTTCCAAATCCCGAAGTTACACCTAATCCAGACTCAATTATATCATCATTTAAACATGCCGGTAATAACGAAGACGACAATACAAATGGCTGATCGATTTCCAAAATTGCTATGTCCCAAGCATAATTTCCTTCATAACCCAAATAATTACAAGGAACGTAAATGTCTTTCACCTTAAAAAATGCAAAATTATTAACTTTATTATAATTAATATAAAACCCGCTTACACAGCATTTCATTGTTAAATAGTTCATTTCATTTGAAGAAAAATTAGGTTCTATTTTATTTCTCTTACTCTGGCCTTTTTAACGAATCGTTTTTCGTGCTGTTTAGAATCATAGTCACGATAAACATTTCCAGTTGCTATATAATATTTATTCGGGTCATTTATCGATTGAATCGTTTCGTCGTAGACGCAATGCGCTGCGGTAAGAAGAAATTTTTCTTTTATTATTGTTGCTCCGCATATGAAATCCTTCGATCCGTTTTTAGTTTTTTCTCGGTATAAAGTAGCGTGCCATGGAAATTGAGAGATGTCAGTAACATTTCCACCTATAATGAGAGGTTTTGATTTTGGAGGAACTACACCGCATTCTAAAACATTTAAAAAACAGAACATTATTATGAATAATTCGAGTAAATGTTACTTAATTATAATTTAAATGCTATTACTTTTTAATCATATTGTAGTAAATAATACGTCGTATCATATAATATTTTACAAGACATAATTATCAATTTTAAACCTTAAATTATCAAGTTTTATTATATAATTAGGAAATTGTTTAATTTTGACTATTACTAAATGTAATTACTAACTAATATAATTGAGATATACATATAAGTTACATGAGGAACTAACGTTAGTAAACTGTTTCACCTTTATATCATGCAGCGATGGATATAATATTAGTTGTAATTAATAATAGATTATTAGTTACACTTAAATAGTTGAAGAATGGTTTAACTGATAGTATGGATCATGTAAAAATATAGTATAAATGTGAATTGTACTATATAAATACTATATACTATATATGTATATATATATATAGTATAAATATAGAATTAATGTGGCTCATATATGATTTATTAAAACAATGTCATTGTTATACCGAATAGTTTAACTGCAAATTTTGCATAAAATAAATAACTTAACTATATTTATTTACGATGCATTTAATATATCATAGATAAATAACATTTAATATTATTTCATTGAAATTTATTACACTTTCTACTAGAGACCTAATAACTATAATTTTACATAATATTTTGATGTTAACTATATAAACTCGTTACATGAATAAATTATAAGAAAGTTTTCCTAGCATGCTGAATTCTAATAATGTATCTTCTTTAAATATACTTTTCAGTATTTAACCTTTTAAACTCTGTATGACTACTAATGCTTTTTTCTAGTGGATTTCGTGGAAGGTATCAATTAGAATGGTATACTTTTGTAGTGAAATATATGTTTTTTACTTTTTTCTCATTTGATTCGATGTTACGTAAAACTGTATAATAAAATAATCATTAATTCATTTTAAACTATATTCCTAAGTAATTATGTAGTAAAAATAGTCATAAACTGTTTTTATGCCATCCGCGACCATGTGCGCTCTATCTAGGAAAAAAAGTTGAGATATAATCTGTTATATTTGAAGCTTTTGTGCTTAAGAAGTTGGAAATACGTCCACACAGGTCTGAATTCGTCTAGATGATTTGAACACTTAAATGTTTTAGGCCATCTTACATTATATATTAATGTAATGTGTGATTAATGTAAGAGAAGGCTTTGTTTTCTGAATAACAGCTTTAAAAGTCATTCTGTCACCCACAAAATAAACAGTAATGAATAGCATACTTGGGAAACATTGTATTGGTTGTGGTTCCCATTGGCCTATATTATTACATATAACTTGATTCCTTTGTTTTGATAAAAAATTTCCAACTTCCTGATAACTGTTGCGACAATTTAACTTTGCGGTGGTTCCAGGTAAAACAGTAGATTCGCAAGATACCCATTGACCATTTAATTTACAATCAGCGTCTGTTGATGCTGAAGCCAATGGTTCGCAACGTATTTCTAAAATGATGAAAGAATCATTTTGGAAATAGTTGAAAAGATGAAAAAAATCTTAGCAAATACATATCGACGTATACTTTGTCGTAATGATACTTAAGTTTTAAATCTTACCAGTACAAACTGGAATATTTAACCAGTTTCCTTCTGGATCACAAAATACATCACCGGAATTGCTTATTTTGTATCCAGGATTGCAGGTATAAATTATATGAGACAAAACTGGTAGTTTTGTACCTTCCTGCACGTCGCAATTACTTTTTTGTGATTGGCATTGCAACCTATATAATTGTCGATAGCCATTTGCTGGTTGGGGAGGCACCGTACAAACTTTTGTTTGTACTGCCACGATTAAAGGAGGTATGAATGTCAAAAAGTCTATGGAAGAAAACCAATTGTTTAACTATTTGATTATTAGTCATGTAAGTTTCCTACAAAAATCATACACAGTAACAAATGAAAGTTTAAAAAAAAAAATAATTTTTCCACTATAAGTTCGTAGATTATCTCATTGGTCACGAGTTCAACATTACTGTTAGCAATTAATCTTATCAATATACTTGTTTTCGTCGTTTAAAATAAATAATATTATTCTAAGAGTTTATGGATGTTTTATAATACTCACGTAAAACTAGTTTCAGATTTCTTGGGAAAAGAGACGTCATGTATTCGCACATTAAATCAATTATTAATCTATTATGTTCTATACATATTATATTTGTTTTATCTACTAACAATACATTTAATTTTCATGAAATGAAAAAGAAGTTTCTTTTACATTCGCCTATACCAATATGCAATGCTTGTTAGACTCAGTATATTACTCTTTAGATTTTTTTTAATTAATTTAATATTTTTATATATGAAAAAAGTGTAAACTATCTTGAAAATAAATCAACATATATTGAAGATTATAATTTCCTTATAAATAAAGTTTTCGTAAAAAGGACTTTTCGGTTTTCCAATGCTTGATAACCTCTCTTAAGAATGTTTGCGTATGTTATTGCAACGTTATCGTGTATTTGAATTTTTATCGTTTAATGATTAAAACATTAAAAATACGTGAAAAAGAAATAATTAAATAAGTAAAAAAGAAATCAACTGAGAAGGTCAATGAGAAAGTCAATATTTATGGAATTATAATCTGATAAAAATTCAATAGAAATCTAAAAATTAGGTAAAGTTTAGATTTTAGTTACAGATTTAGATTAGGTACGTTTATATTTTAATGAACTTATTTTGTTTTTAATGTATTGATTACCATAAAAAAAATTAATTATGATTTTTGTATTTACATGAATGTGTCCTATTTAAAAACTTTGCAATGCATACTTATTTTCTCTTCAGAAATAGTGAAAAATGCATGAGAAAGACTTATTTAAAAAATCCGTACAGTTGAAGATACTTAGTGATATAATTTTCAATTTATGATACAGAAAATTTTGTTTGCGGTACTATCTTTAAGCGCAATTAATATATACTTTGTTTAAAATCGTATTAAAAAACTTTAAAAGAAAAAAGTGCACTTTTCTAATAATGAGGAGATGTAATATTGAAAAAATTTTTTCTCAAGATTATGTAGAATTTATATAAATATAATAAAACGAATGTATAATGTATAATATATACCCGTGTTCGTGAGTGAAATTTTGTTCTACTAGGTTGAAATTATTATCGTATAATTGAAGAATATTGGCAATAGCAGAGCAAAATAATAGTAAACTCGTTCTCGATCATCTTTCTTGAACGTCGAATTGTCTGTTTGTCGCGTTTACTTTTCTTTGCGTTTTTTGCCTATGACTGAATCGTCTTCTCTCTTCTTGTCTACACTTATTTGTTTCTTATAATTTTCTGTCGTCTATTCGTCTAACATCTACTTCTACGTCTATGTTCGACTGTTCTCGTCTAACACCTAACGTCGACTGATTTAAGAGTTATTTTCATTTTTTTCCCAATACCTAACATCTTACATAAGCTATTAAGTGTCGTGATTTCCCGCGAATGAATCACGCATCAATTAACAAATCATTCGTATACGTACACTCTTCCACTCATTCAAATTCATTCGTCTCGATATTTTCAAGATTTTACAGTAATTTTTTTACTTGAAGAATATTTCCAACAATATCTATGTTTTTTAAAAAAAACTATTTATATTTTTTATGATATTTATATAGTATACGAAACAACGAATTAAAAAAACCTATATGAGCATGTTATTGCAATCATTTTTTCACGTTTTAATCGCATCTAAAGATAATTACTCTGTTCTGCTCTAATATTTCTGTTATTTGTATAATAATAATACGAAATAATACGAATTTAATACGAAAATTATATATTATTGAAAGGGATGTATTTTGATACCTACTTCATTTTTATAGATATGTTACCGTCAAAACCGAAAATCAGTCATTACTAGTAATTCCTCGACGTACTTATCCATGCAAAGCGCATTCAGACGATGTTGAAAATTGAAAAATTCTAACAGTATTTTCTAGACATCAAACATAATACTTTGAAATTCTATAGAATATTAGATTACTATTTAGACAAAGTTGAAAAGAATACATTCTCGAGCACACGCCCAACGTATCCTCCTTGCCGTCCAATCAAAAAACCTTAACTACACTCTTAAACACACACACAAAAGCGACCATGGTAAGTGTTGTTGAGACTGTCATTTCACTATAACGAAAAATATTTTATTTTTGTCCTTTATCGTATCGGATGATAAGTGGGTTTAGACCGAGATGTTTTATACTTGCATTCTATTCAAAATAAAATTTGTTTTTTCCTATGCCCTTAGAATGATTTTTAACAAAATGCATGTATAAAACATTTTGTTCTAAACCCGCTTATCTTCCAAAGAAGAAGAAGAAGAATTAGAGAATAAAAAAGTCATAAAATTTGTTTTGTACAACTTTCTTCTTTCTTTACGTATTTTAAATAAATATTTTTAATGGCATTATTTCTCTCTCTCTCTTTCTCCTTATTCCTATAATAACATTTGTATTTTTGAAGAATGCACTTGTAGATATGTAGAGTACGGGTCGGCGGTTCTTTATGAAGTAATCAATCCGATACCGATATCCTTGCCTTTATCTTGTTTTTCCTTGGCTTTTCAAACAAGTCTAAAAATCAACAGAAAAAGCTCCCCTTTATCGTTTTTTTTTCCGGTTCGCTTCATCAGCTGATCGCTTGTGTGGTGTGTGTATGTATATGAGTGGTAATGAGTTTTTTGAGGGGGTTGCTGGGGTGCTGTATGCTGTGTCTGTCCGTGCCCGTGAATGCATTCTTTTCAACGTTGTTTAAATAGTAATTTGATATTCTAAAGGATATCAAAGTATAATGTTTGATGCCTAGGAAAAACTCTGTAAAAAGTCCTATTTCCGACTTTGTCGGAAGGCTCTTTGCATTGTTAAGAATGCTGAGGAATTACTAGCAATGACTGATTTTTGGTTTTGACGGTAACAGATATAAGGCATAGAAGAGGAATCCAAGTCATCTAATTTTGGAAGTACTAAAAATTATCGCTAATCGCATGAAAAATTTATATCTTGCAGATATTGTTAAAATTTTTGGAAATATAAATTAATATAGTGTAATTGTATTACTTACAGCCAAATGTAATTAAAAAAGAACACTTTCTATGTACGATTTCCATAGTAATCAAAAGGAAAGATTAAAAAACGAATTCTAAAATTGAAATAATATTTAAAGAGAGTTCCGTATTGTGTTGTCTAACGTCAACTCGGATTCAGCACTGTTTGCAAGTCGGTTGAATGCCAAGTTCACACTGGAGAAATTTTTAACGTTTACTGTGTTATATACGTAATATCAAAACACACGACCTAGAAGTCTCATAATCACTATCTTCCAATAAATGTGTAAAATACGGAACAAGTTTTAAGAAGAAATATAGATATATATAGTTTAATTGCGATATTATTCGCTCGCGCGTCACTTATAATCGTGATTAATACCACATATTGATTTTTATCCGATAGCAATTTGAGAATTTCACACAAAGTTACTCATCCGTTATTTATTGTTCATATATAACAGAACTGCTCGAAGATCTGTATTGAACATGAAAATCGTTGTTTTCTGAATTTAAGATAGAAACTTGGTTTTCTGAGAACATTATTACCAATTCAGGCAATAATTCCGTTTTTTTCCTTTTTTTTTATTGAAAATGAAAAGATACCGTTCARTTGTAATTAGTGTTGCCATTAACTCGGTTTTTTTGAAAAAGTGACTTATGCCACTTTCAAAATAAACGGCTCATATGTTGATAACAACGTAGGTGAAAATAAAAATTGTTCTTCAATCTCCGATAAACGTAAAATCCCTAGCATAATTTCTATTTTCATCAAAATAATTAAAATCAACATGAATTTGTTGGACTAGAAAAATATTATATAATATATACTTAAAAAAAATTATTTTACTTAAACTATAATAATTTAGCGTTTCCTTAATCGTTGAACATTTGATTAACCTTTCAATTTTTGGTATTTTCGCTCTTTCTTATAAAACCTATATCATTCAGATTATAATCATAGTAAAAAATTGTTTTCCACTTCCTACATAACATTTTCAAGAGTCATTTACTTTCTTAATTGTTTTATCAAAAACGCCATAATCTGTGGTAAAGAAAAAATCTTCTAGTTAAAAAAATAAATTCCTTTGGTCCGTCAACACGGTTTGTAATAAATGGAGTGAAATACCATGGATAGAATTGACCCAGGATTACCATTTACGATAAAAGTTATACCACGTACTAAAATATATATCGAAATAACTATAACGTTTCGAACTAAATATTAATCAACTGTAGGATTCGGGAAAAAATTAAACAGCAAGAACCACGGATCTTTTGCTTTCTTTGTTGCAAACTTCAACATAAACAGTAACAACATACATACTTGGGAATCATCGTATTTGTTTGGATTTCCATTTACCTGATGTCCTTGTTTTTATTCTCAAGATACTCGTTGACCATTTAATTTATAAGCAGCTTCATTTGATGCTAAAGCCAATGATTTTTACCGTATTTCTATTCTAAAATAATGTGTAGAGTTATTAAGAAAATAATAAAAATATTAAAAAGAAAACAATCTGTATAGATATTGAGTTATTTTATTTTAATTTTTTTTAGGTTTTAAACTTTTTGAATAGAAAATGATATATTATACCAGTTTCCTTCTCGATCACAAAAGACATCACCGGAACCGCTTATTAGGTATCCGGGATTACAGGTATAAATTAAATGGGACAAAGGTGGTGTACGATCCGGAAGGATTATAGATTTTGCCTATATTCAAAATACTTGCCACAATCAGTTAGAGAGTAACGAAATGTTGTTATTTGCTCACCCCCCCCCCCCTACTCTCTAAACTGTTGATAAGCACATTCTACGGGGTCATTAGCGAGGAGACTCCGTCCTTCTCTTCGATAGAGCGAGAAAATTATTTCCATAACGATTATATCATATACTTACATTATCGGTAGGAGTGAGAGGAGGGCCTATGCAAGAATAAGTATACACATACTTCCATCAAAGTGTACAGATCTCTGCCTGAAGAGAACTATTGCTGAGAAATTTATTTATACTTATATTCCTGCAACGAACGAAAAAATAAGCCACGTGTTTAATCCGGGATTGGACATCATTAATTTCTATCCGATTAAACAACCAAGGTTTTAATGCAGCAAGGCTTTTTACTGAAGAACCAATAAAATATTACATTTTCTATTTGCTCAATAAAGTGTTTGTAATTTATTTTAATTCCACCTTTACCTTCTTCATCAATAGCTAAAACCAATCACCAAAGGACCCCGTGTTGGAGAATTATGCGTAAACAGCTGATAATTTTGAACTATTTTGTACGTCACAATTGCTTTGTTGCGATTGGCATTGTAAACTATATAATTTTCAATAACCATTTGCTGATTGGGAACGCATTGTACAAACATTTGTTTGTATTGTATGATTCGTCAAAAAAATTGGGTTGTTGGGCTGACTCGACCGAGGACTCGAACCCGGATCTTCCGCTTTCCGGGCGACTGCTCTTTATCTATTGAGCCATCCAGTGCCCATGTCCAATCTCTTCATGAATGCCTATTTAAGAATTTTGTTTGTGGCGCTCGTCCCACATTCTACCCCCCTGCAACAACATTCGACCCCGAATGTTCCGTTATTTTTAACCTTCATTTAAACCATCTATCCCCTTTTACGTCGTATGTCTCAATCCTGAACGCGGCGCTGTTACTGGGCGCTTAAGGCCGTCATTGCCTATTTCCCTAGGTAATCGTTCAGCGTCGCTTCCGTCGTCTAATCGTCCTTGATAGATCTTTTAATTAATTATTGTTCTCTCGTTGTTGCATGATTGTAGAAGTGTGTTACGATGCAAAACCTCCATCCCGAACGAGCCCCTACTTGTAGGATTCGTGAAAAAGATTGGGCCGTTGGACTAACTGTACCGGGACTCGAACCAGGATCTGCGAAGCCGGTTATGCGAACTCGGATCTGTCGCTTTCCGGGCGACTGCTCTTTATTCATTGAGCTATCCAATGCCCACGTCCAATCTCTTCACGAATGCCTATTTAAGAATTTGGATTGGAGGAGCTCGTCCCACAGTATTGCCACAATTGAAAGAGGTATGAAGGTTAAGAAGACTATGAAATAAAACTATTTATTTAACTATTTGATCATTCGTCAACTAAAAATTTTCAGGCTCAGATACAGTTACGCTGTATTGGCTTCATTTAAAGTTTTGAAACTAGCGTGCGGCTATTCTTGTACGATTTGCACACATTTCCTGAATTCCCACTATTCCGGTAGCATTGTCTTCAAAATTTGTGTACATTGATTTACTTATCCATCCCCTCTCTCACTCATTCCTGCTATAAAACTATTATAAAACTGTCCTATTTACAGTTAATTAGTGCTATTAATAACGATACCTTCTATCAAATCAAATCTACACAACAGTACGAAATATTTATATTTATTCCGATTTGTAATATTCCAAGGTCATCTACAATCGCAACAAAATACGACGAGACTGATATATAAGCAATGTTAAACATTCATACAGAGCGTTATTTTAATATTTGGATATAAAGATTCCTTTGGTATTTATGAGTTTCATGTTTCCTGTTGAATATCTTTGAACATGTCTTCGAAATTAACAGAAGTGTTGTTAAGATTGTGGATAAATTTTAAAAGAGGCATAAGTGTGGAGAATACTGCAGAAGGGCTTCTATCATTGGATTATTATGAGTTTTCTGAAGTATGTTCAGCGTCAATTAAATATTGGTTTAATTTTTTCATTGAATATGAATTGAAATATCCACATTTAAATCGATTATACCTCATAAGATACGGTCAAATAGAAGAATTTTTATCGCAACTATTAGTAGAAAATCCTTCCTGGACGACTGCTCACTATATGGATGCTTTAAAAGTTACCAATCAAAATATACATAATTATATGAAAAAAATTGGCTATATTTATATGCGTGGTATATGGTGTAAGCGTCAGTAATATACATATTATAAAACATTAAAAAATAGTTATTTAATATTACCTCGATCGTTAATGTTCAGAGTCTTTTACATATTATGACGAAGACATACATTCTTATATTTTTAAAAATTAACTGTTCTTAACATTTACAAATCGTTATATCCTAAAACTGTTATATTCAAAAACGTAATAAAAACAGTACTGATTCTATCTAGACTAGTGTTCAATAGTCTAGGTATCCTCACTATTATAGTGCCCTCTATCACTGTGTCCTATTTATGATAATTCAACTTTAATATTTCGTTGTAAATGGTATTTAAATTATTTTTATCGTTTCTGCAATAAATTGTAATATTATTTGCTATGTGGTACACTTCACTTACATTTCTTTGTACCAAATGTCTTCTTTATTTAAAATAGTTGCCGTGTCAAATTTAAAATTATGGCTTATTTAAAAATGATGTTCAGCTAACGCGGTGRTATTAGTTTTTTGTGCATTAGTAAGTTTACGATCATTTCTTTGTTGATCTACTCTTTTTTTGAATTTTTGTTTCGTTTGTCTTATATAACACCTTTCACATTCACAGGTATTTTATTTTGTACACTAAGTTCGACTGATCTAATTTATCAACCTTATCTTTTAATTTAGCGTAAATGGTATTCACTTTTACTAAATTTTAAAATACTAGAGAGTTTAAAATATTGGTGTTTTCAAAGCATATACCTATTTTATTTGATAGTGGTTTGATAAAAGGAAACCTAATGAATTTTTTATTTTGTTGATTATTCAGATCCTTCATAAGATACTTGTCTAGTTAAAGCTTTTTAAACAGCATTTGGATGAGACTAGTAGGATAGTTGTTATTTTTTAAAGTGACTCAATTCTTCTCCTATTTTCAACATGGAACTTTTTACTACTAAATGTTAGTATTCTAAATAATAATCCTTTTATGGTAGCAAATTTTGTATTTATTGGATGGTTCGAATCCTAATTAATGCATCTACCAGAGATCGTTGATTATACATACCAATTCGTTAATATGGAATCATTTTCGTTTCTTACGATTGTCGTGTCTAAGAACGGTGAGGAAGGCTCTAATATTTTTTATTTCGATGGTAAATTGGATCTTCTTATTTATGCTGTTGAAGGATTTCCCATGCTAGAACTATCAAGTTGTTGGTAAAAAGATCCGTTGAATTGGAAGTAGCTTGATTCAAAACAAAATTGTATTAGTTCTAACAAGATATTTTTCGAGCTCTTTATAGAGTTTGAGAGTTCTTTCCAATATCCGTCGATTGTTTGTACCACCAGTTATTTCGGGATGTTAATAAAAAGTGAGATAACATCTTACTATACTAGTATAAGTACATACTAGAAATTTCGTACAAGACTTATTCGTCTCGATTCAATAATCATAATGAATTTTTTGATGGAAATCTATTTATTAACTACGAAATAAGTTTTATAAAATAAATGAATTAATTAAGTGGCGTTGAGATCTCGAAAGCTCATTGCCACATATACCAAATCCTGCAAGTGTTCTCTGGCGATTGGGTTTAGCTAAGTGTGAGGAAGATAAAAGGTTAAATTAAAATAAATGAAAACACTTGGTTGAGACAATAGAAAGTGTAATACTTTATTGGTTCGTTAGGGAAAAGACTTGCTGCATAAAAAGCCTGCTTAATATTTGTGTATACGTTAATGATGGTCAATCACGGACGACGCAAGTGGCTTACTTATTGTTTATTGGATAATAAAGATATAATAATTGTCTCATCGAACACGTGGTGGTAAAAGTGTAGAGCGTCCTCGTACACTTCGTTACTTATCTGGTGGGGAATATCCTGATAATATGCACTCTCGCGCGATTATAAAGGTGTGGGACGATGTATATACATAGTACCATGTATATTTTTATGGACTATTACATACGTGATAGATTTGACAAAAGTCTGCGATTCAAAATCCCTGGGCTCTCGTTGTTAGTTTGAGTTTTTTGTAGGAACTTATTTTACTGTGTTTTGTAGAGTTTTATTACTAGTTCGATTGTTTTGGTAACTGATTGTATCAATCACATTTAGTAATAAATTATATTTAATGTATAAATTTTTGTTTAGGAAAATTCGTTTAGAAATAGAATTTTTCTGCATATCACCTAATGCATTATTACAATTTTTTATAATAAATAATGTCCTATTTTTTTTTACATTGAATATTAAACTGGTACAAATTCATTCGAAAATTGAATTTCTTGTTTTTCTGTAAAACGTATTTGCAACGTTTCTTTTGAAAAATTACATAATGTTCATTCATTAAATAATTACTGATTATCATTTAAAAGTTAATTTTTTTATACAAGAAGCCATCACCGTGTATTATTTATGAATTACTTCGTGGAAAATGATCGCAAATACTTGTATAAAGAGAATTTAAATCACAAGTTCTTGTAACATTGCACTATAATGCACCAAGACGCATATTAACGATACCCATTGTTGCGTATCCAACGCAACGAGTGAGTTGAGAAGAGAGTCTGGGCGTGTACGACCCTGCTGAAGGGTGAAGACACGCGTGACAAAGAAACATCTTAGTTTAGCAGTAAAACCAAGGGAGCGCCAAGATCGTTTGGAAAGGCTCTTTGTTTCTTCAGGCTCGCGTTCTCCCACCACATCTATTAGGCTAATCATATGCTTCGACAGCTACGATATCTGTTTTTGCGGCAATTGGTCCGCGCGCTGCATCGCCTTTTTCTATAAAGCATGGCGTATTCTCGCGCCTTATGCCACGAGCCATGCGAGGGATTACATCATCGAAGTATTGCGAGCGACAAAGGCAGTCCTACACGTGGTCAAAACTAATTCTGCCTTTTATATATGTGTTATCGTCAAAGTCGAGAATCAGTCATTGCTAGTAATTCCTCAGCATTCTCATCAATGCAAAGCGCCTTCTGACAAAGTCGGAAATAGGACTTTTTACAGAGTTTTTTCTAGGCATCAAACATTATACTTTGATATCCTTTAGAATATCAAATTACTATTTAAACAACGTTGAAAAGAATGCATTCACGGGCACGGACAGACACAGCATACAGCACCCCAGCAACCCCCTCAAAAAACTCATTACCACTCATATACATACACACACCACACAAGCGATCAGCTGATGAAGCGAACCGGAAAAAAAAACGATAAAGGGGAGCTTTTTCTGTTGATTTTTAGACTTGTTTGAAAAGCCAAGGAAAAACAAGATAAAGGCAAGGATATCGGTATCGGATTGATTACTTCATAAAGAACCGCCGACCCGTACTCTACATATCTACAAGTGCATTCTTCAAAAATACAAATGTTATTATAGGGATAAGGAGAAAGAGAGAGAGAGAGAGAGAGAGAGAGAGAGAGAGAGAGAGAGAGAGAGAGAGAGAGAGACTGCTATTAAGAATATTTATTCAAAATACGTAAAGAAAGAAGAAAGTTGTACAAAACAAAATTTATGACCTTCTTATTCTCTAATTCTTCTTCTTCTTCTTCAAAGAAAGGGTAATAAACTTTTCATAGTACTAATATGAAATTTTAATTAACCTACTTGTTGCAACATGGTAGGCTTGAATGACATTTTGAATTACATTTTACGACATTTTTCACGCAAAGACATTTCAAAGTTTGGCACTTTCTTTTACACGTACATTTGATGAATCCTTGACCTCTTCCATTGGATTGAGCAATTGCAACTGACCGAAGAGAATTTTCATGGTCAGGAATATCTTCAATTTAAAGCAAGTTCTTAGGGCACGAAGTGAATTGTGATTTCGCATATAATTGTTTTAAAATTCCGTCAGAAGTTCCAAGTCGATTGAAACCATCCTCTGTCACACTCATTAAAACTGCCAATATATTGCGAAAACCATTCTAAGAGCATAGTAAAAAACAAACTATATTTGCAATAGAATGCAGGTATAGAACATTTTGTTCTAAACCCGCTTATCTTCCGATATGATAAAGAACATAAGATTTAGATTTTCCGTTATAGCGACACGTACAGTCACAACTACCCCTACCATGCTCGCTTTTGTGAGTGTGTATAGGAGTAGGGTGTTGGTTGTTTGTTGAAGGGGGGGGGTTGCGTCAGGGTTGTGTGTGCATGTGCCCGAGAATGTATTCTTTTCTTAGATACCCTAAATTAGTCCAGGCAACAAAGGAGAACTTGGAAAATTTAGCGCCCTTGTTAAAATTTGATATAATGGTAATTCGACGACGCTGAATCGAATTAGCTGGTGCTAATTTTTTTGCAATTGGATCAGGAGATCTTTGAGAAAAAGGGTAAAAAAGGGTAAAAAAGCCATATCTTAGAATCTAGACATTTAATCGAAAAAAGTTTCAAACAAAAGTTGTAGATAATTGAAAAATACATAAAGCGACTGCTCTTTATTCATTGAGCTATCCAATGCCCACGTCCAATCTCTTCACGAATGCCTATTTAAGAATTTGGATTGGAGGAGCTCGTCCCAC